GCAAACACTGGAAACAGCCCAGATGGCCATCAACAGGTGAATGGATAGACAGTGTGGTCATCCATGGATACTCAGCAGTGAGAGGGATAAGCCACAGACATCTGCTGCCACATGGATGTGTCTCAAAATAAGTATTTTTTTTTTTTGAGACAGAGTCTCGCTCTGCTCACCCGCCACCAGGCTTGGAGTGCAGTGGTCGTGATCTTGGCCTGCACTGCCCAGCTCTGCCTTCCCGGTTCAACGACGCATTCTCCTGCTTCAGCCTCCGGACTAGCTTTGGGACCTAACATGCGCCCACCACCCAACGCGCTAAATTTTTTTTTTTTTTTTTTTTTTTGTTTTTTTTTTTTTTTTTTTTGTGAACGAGTCTCGCTGGTGTCGCCCAAGCTGGAGTGCAGGTGGCCGCGATCCTGGCCTCCTGCAAGCTCCGCTCCCTGGGTTCACTGCATCTCAAAAACATCAACTCCATCAAGACAAATCACACAGACAAAGACTAGACACGCGAACTACAGGCGCCCGCCCATGCGCGTCCCGGCTCCAATTTTTTGTATTTTTAGTAGAGACGTGGGTTTAGCCACCTGGCCTCGATCTCCTGGACCCTTGTGATGCCGGCCCGCTCGCCTCCAAGTGCTGTGGATTCACGGTGGCCCACGCCGGCCGGCTGGTATATTTTTTTTTATTAGAGACGGGTTTCACCATGTGACCAGGATGGTCTTGATCTCCTGACCTCTGTGGTGATCCACCAGCTTCAGCCTCCAAGTGCTGGGATTACAGGCATGAGCCACCACACTTGGTCTCTTAACAGCTTTGTTGAGATATAATCAACATACAATAAACTGCACACGTGTAAGGGTAGAACTGGATAGATTTTGACATATGTTACTATTTGAGAAACTATGACCATGATCAAGGATGTGATGAGCATCAAGAAGGAAGCAGATAGTAAACCTATCTCCATCAACACAACAGATGAATAGGATAAGAAAATGTGGTACTTTACACAATGGAGTACTATTCAGTCAG